AAAAAAAAGCAAAACAAAAAACAGAACAAGTCAGGCAATGGTGGCACATGCTTTTTATCCCAGAACTTGGGAGGCAGAGGCAGGTGGATCATCTTTGAGTTTGAGACCAGACTGATCTACAGAGTTCCAGGACAGCCAGGGCTACACAGAAACCCTGTCCCAAAAAACCTAACCATCCAAACAAGCAAACTAGTTGGAGCCAATATTTGACATTAAAATCAGCTAGCTGGCAGGCAAGCAAGGCTGTTCCTTTGCAGCCTGAGCTCCATGAAACCCCTGTTACTGGGCCTTGTTTCTGCAGTGTGTGTGTGTATGCCAGAGGTCAACCATGGGTATGATTATCTACTTTGTTTTTTGAGACAAAGTCTCTCACAGGGCCCTAGAGCTTACCACTTAAGTAGGGCAGCTGACCAGAGAGTCCCAGAGACTTGACTACCTCTGCCTCCTCAACACTTGCATTACAAGCCCAGCTTTTGTTGTTGCTTGTTTTTTAGTAGCCCAGGTTGCCTCAAACACACAATGTAGCTGAGGCTGGTTTTGAACTCCTGATCCTCTTGCCTCGGCCTTCCAAGTGCTGGGATTACTAGGAATTGAACTCAGGTTCTTATGCAAACACTAATGACTGAACTTTACCCAGCTTCCCTGTTACCTTTCTTAGCTGCTGAGAGGCTAGAGAGCAGGCTCCGTATTTCCATGCTTCCCGACAGCCGAGGCTGCAAAGGACAGTGCTGTGACCAGACCTCTCCACTGGGGTCCTGTGTCCATGATCCCCACACCCGGAGGGAGCTTGTTTCCTGACAGCTGGGTCTCACACCAGCACAGTTAATTTGCTGCTGTTCCTGAGGAGTGACAGCAACTTGAACAAAGCAATTAGGATGAAAAAGAGAGGCAGCTGCTCGGGGCTAGAGGAAAATAAACAGACTGGTGCTGTGTGTACTCCACGGCCAAGAGGAGCAATCCTTCACAGGGTGATTAGCTTTTCCAACCACAGCCTCTTCCCATCTCTGGAAGGAAGACAAGGTGGCTGCTGCTATTCCCGGATCCGACTGTTCCCAGGGTGTACAGGTCAACCTTTCCTCATGACATCTTCTCTGCCCCCACCCCAACCCTCACGGCCAGAACAGAAACTTTCCCTACCCCTCTGAAGTCTGAAGCTTGTTATGTACCTCCCTCCCAGGGTTTTTTCTTAATCTATTGACTCATCCATTCGTTCTTTCTGTCAGTAGGCATCCATTAAACACTACTCATTCATCTAACAGATGGTACACATCCTTGCTATGTTGTAGACACTGTTCTGGTACTAGTGATACATCAGTGAACAACACAAACAAAAGTCTCTGCCCTTGATCTGGAAACATAGCCCAGTGGTAAGGTGCTTGCTTAGCATGCTGGGAGCTCAATCCCTAGCACCATGTGTTAGGAGATCCCTACTCTCGTGGAGTTCAAGTTAGAGTAGGGGGAAAAAGACAAGAAACAGGTGAAAATATAGAGAGGGTGATACTGAATGCTGTAGAGGAAAAACAGCTGGAGAGAGAGAGTTCAGTTAAGTTGTCCTCTTACAGAGGACCATATTTTGGGGTGTGTGTGTGTGTGGATCTTAGTCAGTGTTCTATTGTGGTGAAGAGGCACCATGACCATGGCATTTACAGTTTCAGAGATTTAATTCATTATCATCAGAAGCATAGTGGCACATAGGCAGACATGTTGTACAGGTGAGAGTTATACATCTGGATCCACAGCAGAAAGAGAGAGCGAACCACTGGGCTTGGCTTAGGTTTTTGAAAGCTCAAAGCTAATCACAATCAACACATCCCTCCAGTGAGGGAGGCCACACCCACTCCAACAAGGCTGGCCTTCCTAATCTTCCTCAAGCAATGCCACTCCCTGATGACTAAACATTCAAATATACGAGCCTCTGGGGGGCCGCTCTTACTCAGACCACCAGCATGTTTGTGTGTGTCTTTTTTTTTAAAGATTTACTTATTATATACAGTGTTCTATCTGCATGTATCCCTGCAGGCCAGAAGAGGGCACCAGATCTCATTACTGATGGTTGTGAGCCATCATATGGTTTCTGGGAATTGAACTCAGGACCTCTGGAAGAGCAGCCAGTGCTCTTAATCTCTGAGCCATCTCTCCAGCCCCAGTGAGTGTGTGCTTGCATGCATGTGTTCCTGCATGTGCCATTTGCCCATAAGATAGTTGTTATTCCTCAGATGCCATTCATCTACTTTTTTTTTCCTGAGAAAGGGTCTCATTGGCCAGGGAGCTCAGAGGACTTCAGCATCTCTGCCTCACCAGTGCTGGGATTGCCTGCCTGTGCCTCCACACCCAGCCTTTTAAGGAGGATGCTGTAGATCAAACTCAAGACCTTGTGCTTCCAAGGCAACATTTTACCAACTGAGCTGCCTCTGCAGTTCCTTCATTACCTTTCTCTGTTGCTGGCTGGTTTGTTTTTTTTAATTTATTATTTTTAGTTTTTAAACACAGACTGTAAAGATTAAATTCAGGTCCTCCCACCTGCAAAGCAAGTACTTTACTAACTGGGCTATCTCCTTAGCTTTCTTACAAATTTTTGGTTAAGTTTTTGAGACCATGTTTCTCTATGTAGTCCTGGCTGTCTGGGAACTTGCTATGTAAATCATTTTTGCCTCAAACTCAGAGATCCACCTGTCTCTGCCTCCCTAGTGTTGGGATTTAAGGTGTGTGCCACCACACCCAGCTCTTGCTTAAAATTCTCAAATGCTTAAATAAGTCAACTTTGGGAAGACTGTGTGAACATCCTGTGTTCATTGCTATATATAAAAGACATCTCTAAAAGAAGGTGCTGCTCTGGGTGGGAATAGTCAAAGTGCATAGACCAGTATAGCAGGCCTGTCAGAGACAATCCTAGAGTTCACTGAATTGAGAAAGAGCCCGTGAGCTGACAGACCCTAACAACATGAGAGGCAGTGCTCTGGCTGCTAAGGAAAATGTTCGTCACCTGGAATTAGAGCCAAAAGAGGATGCTGGGTCTTTACAGGGCTAAACAGTGAACCAACTTAATTATAAAGAGCTATGTACTTCTATTTCAGCGACTTACTATTGCTCTGCCCCAGACATCATTAAGTCCTATGTTAGCCTGTGGGTGTGCACAAGTCTGTGCCTGTGCATATATGATGACTCAGAGATTCTTTTCCAGGATAAAACTTTTAAAATGATGGTTTTATTGCCCCCCCCCAGACATGAACCAGCACCATCTCTGACATAGCAAACTTACTCCCACACATCTTTGCCAATTCAATATGCAAATCTCTCAGATGATCTTTCCAACCAGCTTCACATTCTAGTTCCCCCACTAGTGAGTTGAATAAGTCATTGATGATAAAAGTGTATGTGTGTGTACGTACTTTGACAGAAACACAGGTGATGGACTGTGAAGAAATGAATGTACAAACTGTTTGCCTAAAATTCATAGGATATGAATGTCAGGGTTTATTGTTGTGATTCATCGGACTAGACTTTTACAAAGGCTGGGAGATTTCACACTCCTGAAGGCAGCCTATTTCAGGTTTAGGATACAGGTTGGGAGAAGAGGTAGCAAGTGACAGGCCGACACCAGGTACTATGTTCTTTCAGGAAGTATCATGCTAATTCTGTGTTCTCTATTTCTGAAGCCAGGGTTTTGTATGGCTTGGGTCCTGGAGGATGGAGACAATACAGGACCACTGAAGGAAGTCTGCGGGGTACATGGTCATGCCGGAGGGCTGAAGCAGGCATTTGTAGCAGAAGCTGGCTGGGCCTGGGTATTGCCTTTTTTGTTTTGTTTTTTTGAGACAGGGCTTCTCCAAGTAGCTCTTGCCATCTGGTACTTGCTCTGTAGACCAGACTTGCCGAGAACGAAGAGATCCTCCAGCCTCTGTCTCCTAAATTCTGGGATCGTGTATCACCACCACCACCTAGCTCTGGGTATTGCTTTTAAGACAGGAGTTATTTAACAACACGTAGCAGCAGCGACCCCTAACCAATGATTGTTGTAAGACATTTCATTCTGCCAGGCTCAGTTAACAGTACGGGACTTCTACTCTTATCATCTGCATACAGGTATAGCTGCACAAACACAAAATGTCATAGAGACCAATTAGTGATGCAAGCAGCCAGGTCAGGAAAACAGGAGCTGGATCAACCAATCCTGCTGAAAGGAGATGGAAATGCAGCTGACAAAGAGGAAGAGGAAAGGCATTTACAGGCCCAGGGAGCAGCCACAGCAGAGATTAGGAACCTGGCCAGGAGGGACCAATCTACTGTCCCATACTGATAACAGAAAAGATAGGTAAAGGAATTACACCTGTGCTTTCTTTCCATCCCAGTCTCCAAAGCTACAGTAGTAGCTTTGCACCCTCCGGCGGTCTTGCTCCAGGCTCAACTGAGTTTTTATGTCAGTCTAGCCATTCACTGCCTGAATGCCTCCATCTATAGCTGTTCTCTTTTTCAACGCTGGAGCTTACACAGACCCTGTCTGATCCAGTCTTGCACCTCTTTCCTCTTGGAGGGCTCAGACTCTGTGGTCTGACTCAGCTCCTCCAGACTGTCTCCTCTATGCCATTTATATATGTGCCTACTTCCCGAATTTGCATTCTTTCTTTATCTTCCCCTTTCCATGCTGACTGCTTTAGTATTCTTTTTATTGCATGTGTGTTTTCTCTTAATTTTTTTAATCAACATGTTACTTTCAGTTTGATGGTGGTGGCAAATTATGTGTAGACTTTTTTTTTTTTTTTTTTTTTTTTTGCATCCTGATACTTCTATATTAAGACCGAGTTTTCTAGGCTTTCTGTACCCCAACTGACAACTACAGCTCACATTAGGCCCAGCATTGTGCTGACACTTTGTACTTGCTAATTAGCAGTTTGGTTAACATCACCTAACCCACTTCTAGCCATAGCTCAACTGTTGGCTATTCAACTATAAGCATGGATTGTCTAAATAGTAACCCCTCCTTTTTCCCTGAGACTGTGACCCACCAGTTCTCAGCAGAGCCCAAGTGATTTGAGAACCCAGGCATCTGCGTTTCTCAGGGCTCCTTGGATATCCATACCACCAGAAAGCAGAGACCTGAGTGTCCCAATAGGGAAAAAAGGAGTTCCCAAGAGCTCCTTAATCCAGGCTCACATAGTCATGGCTCATGAAGACTCTCAAGTCTTCTGAAGTCATTCAGAGCTCACAACTCTGGCAATGCGGTGGCCACAGGCCCAGTAGTGCCAGGAGGCAGCCGCAGGAGAAACGTCTGTAAAGAGCCAGGCCGTGGAAACCCAGTCTTCTCCCTGAGCAGCCTCCAGGTGCCATCTTCAATGGCATAGACCAACGTGGATACACGGTTGACTGTATAGACAGTGTCCCCACGCACCACAGACGTGAACAGTGCTCCCTTGCTGTTGACAAACTGGCCAGGTAGCGATGTCCACTGACCCGTGACCAGGTTGAGGCAATCGATGGCACAGTGCAGGAAATCATCAGAAGGCCCATTACGAACCACATAGAGACTGTCACGATGGGCCACCATAAAGTGGCCGTAGCTCTGTGAACGACACAGTTCAGCTACCGGAAGCCATTTGTCCATCTGCACCACGTACTCAACGACGGCAGTGATATCTGCCGGCTTCCACAGGCACACGAAGAGGCGACCACGTGCTTGGGCACAGGGAACCCCTGTAGCTGGCTGTGGCAAGTCTGCCACGAAGCTCCAGCAGCCTGTGGAGGGATCGTAGCACTCCACGGAGCTCATGGGCATCCTCTGGAATTCACCACCAATGGCATAGAGGCGGCCTTCAAAACCAGCCAGTGCCATATCATAGCGTGGCTGGTGCGGGCTGGGGAACTCACACCAGGTACCACCTTCCGGATCGTAACAAAAGCCTAGCTCCACTACCTCCTTGCTGGCGCCACACACACCACCCACGATGTAGAGCTTGTTGCCCAGAGTAGCCACGCCTGCCAGCAGCGTGCTGGCCTCCAAGGGCAGTGCGGCCAGCGTGCGCCATGCATCCTCCTCTTCATCCAGGTAGCACATGGTGCGCGATGCATCCTCCAGGAAGCCGGGTGTGGGCGTGTGCGTGCTCACGGCCACGTAGGTGCTAGGTCGCAGCGCCTCCACATAGGCACGGGCCTCGGGCAGTTCCAATTCCGCCACCAGCTCACGCGCGCCATCGCGGATGAAGAGCGCAGCGCTGTGGAGCACATCGCGCAGGCCGAAGACAGCGGCGGCGTCGCACAGCAGCGAGCAGTTGTCCGACGTGACGCTGTGCTCCAGGAAGCGCGTGAGCGCGGGCGCCTGCAGGAACGCGGCGCACTCCACGGCCTGCAGCAGCTCATCGTCGGCCGCCAGCGGTGGCCGCTCTCCGCGCAGCACCCGCAACGCGGTACCGAAGCCCGCTGCGCTCAGTGCACCCAGGTGCACCTCAGCCGCGCGCGCCTCTCGCATGCCAGAGCGGAAAAGCCCACGGAAGAAGCCGCAGTGCTCCACCAGCAGCGACTGCTCGGCCTGGAAGAGTTGGCCGTCCACCCACACCTGCACCGGGACCTCGGGACCTGGGGGCATGATGAGTCAGATGGGTGGAGGCTGCTGCCGCTGGGGGGCCTAGATTTGCCTGGGGCTACTGACTCTGGGGCTACCCCGAGGCGGGGAAGGAAAAAAAACTTTCCCTGGGGGATATAAATACCTTCCTGACTAAAGATAGGACGCTCATGTGATGTGGCCTGCAGGCTTGGATAGCCGCCTGGCCCAGAGGGCATCTGGACACCTGTGTGGTCATTCATTTCTGCTAAGAGACTAGTGACAAGGGCCAGTGAAACAGCCCGGCAGGTAAAAGTTCTTTCCTACAAGCCTGATTGTGTCCTGGGTTCAACCTGGAACCTATATAAAGTTGGAAGGGCAAAACCGACTCCACAAAGTTGTTCTTTTTCCTTTATATTCACACCATGGCATGAATCCCACCCCCACAGAGACTCAGTTAACTTTTTTTTTTTTTTTTTTTTTAAGAAATAGTGAAAACATTAAACCATATACTGAGTACCCATCGCATGCTGGGCCCTGCCAGGCTTACTTGTAAAGATATCCTGTTTAACTGGTGTCATACCAAGCTGTATACAAAGCTCTATTTCCTCATCTTTAAAACTGGGCTAATGGGCTGGAGAGATGGCTCACTGGTTAAGAGCACTGCTCTTCCAGACAACCTGGGTTACATTCCCAGCACCCACATGGCAACTCACAACTGTCTGTAACTTCAGTTCTCAGGGACCCAGCACCCTCATACAGACATACATGCAAGCAAAACACCAGTTTGTATAAAATAAACATTTTTTTTAATGGGCTCATTAGAAACACCTATTCACAGCATTGGGACAAACTCCATAAGGTGTTTTGAATGAGGTCCAGCAACTTTATGTGACTTCTCCATGGTCATTCAGCTGGGGACAAGCATACATACAAAAGAGTGAGGCAGGCAGGTTGAAGAAAGAGACCATGGTGGAGCATCAGGCCAGGATTCTAAAATGTGCCTCTACCCAAGCTTGCACTTAGCCCAATTAATTCCCCCAGTCATGTTTTTGCCTTCATGTACCTAAGTTCATCACATGTATTCACTGCCCCTGGGTGCCAGAAGAGGACCTCAGATCGATTGGAACTGAAAACCGGGATTACAGACAGCTCAGAGTCACCGTGTGGGTGTGGGTGTGGGTGCTGGGACTCAAGCCTCATCCTCTGGAAGAGGATCGAGGGCTCACTCTTAATGTTATCGGTCTCTGCATTTCTGAGTCTCTTTTTGAGCACATTTTCTTTCACATAAAGGAGCATCCGGCAAGCCCCTATAGGCAGAAGCCGCCCTTCACTTGGAAGTGGGAAGCTGGTGTTTGGTATTCACTTGTTTGACCCCTCTATGGCTGCTCTCACCTTGGGTGAAGAAAAGCATAGGTACTGGGAAGATGGTATATCTGAGGATGAGAAAGTCTTCTTCATATAGTAATTTAAATTTAAGCTACACTTAAGTTGCATCGTAATAAACCCTTTGACCCCTAATCCTTGCAGCTCTCACGAACGCTTACTATATAGCCCTACTCCCAGTACGACTGCTGAATACACAATATGCGCTTACTTTTTACAGCAACACTATGAGCTGGATTTCTTCACTAGACAGGGTCTGAAATATCTTTAGGCTGGTTCAGGAAGGATGACCCTGAATTTCTGACCCTCCAACTTCCATCTCCCATGTGCTGGGAATACAGACATATGCCACCATGCCCAGTTTATGTAGTGCTGGGGGTTGGACCCAGAGCTTTGTGCATGCTAAGCAAGGACTCTGCTTACTGAGTTGTACCCCAGCCCTGAACTAGATGCTACTAATGGCCCCATGTAATATAAAGGAGACTAAAAGTACCAGAGGTTTAGCCCATGACCAGCAGGTGGCAGATGTAGGGCCAGAATGCAGCCAGTTTGGCCCTAGTGTATGTGCTCTTACCATGATGCTCTGTTGCCTCCTGTGCTGTAAGTGGGAGGCAGTGGAAGGAAATTCACTGATTCCCATGAGGACCTGGTACAAAGTGAGAAAGAGCCCTGCTCAGGGTCTTGCACTGTGGGACAGACAGCCCCAGGCCTCCTGCAGCCCAGTCTGTGGCACTTTTCCAACTCTGCACAGCTTCCTAGCTGACCATTTAATACTAGGTCCCAAAATGTCAGATGGAAAGGAGTTTAATAATTGCCTTTTCCTACCACTCTGTTTTACAGGCAAGGAAACTGGGGCCCAGACTTTGATAGTATGGTATATGATACCCTTTGAGAGATGTTTGGCTTTGGCCTTCCTTTGAGAGGATATCCCTTACTAAAAAGGAAGGAGGAGGAGGGCAGGAGACCTCCCCTCCCCTTTAGGACACAAACATAGACCATTCAGATGAAAAGAAAATGAGCCTCCCTTAAGGCACTCCCTAACTCACCCCATCAAAACAGGCCTGGAGTGTGGGGACCACTTGTGTGAGTCTGGGAAGCCAGAGACCTGGAAGGCACTGCCAGAAATATCTCAGATGCTCTACCCCAGGGACTGCGGCAGGAAGAGGGGAAGGAGATGGGGGTGGGGTGGGCAGAAGTCCCATGAGTAGTATCCCAGGCCCTCTGCCAGTATCTCTCCTTCCCTGAGACCAGACATTGGCTGGAAGGGCCTAAAATGTTTCCAGCAATAGGTATGACAACCCCTTTTTGGAGACAAGTGGACACTGTAGTGTCAGATCTTTGCCTGTATCCTTGTTAGGCCTTAATGACAGACAGAGAGTGTGTCTGGGAGGTTTCCAGATGAGGAGGGCTTTTCCTCAGCAATGAATGACAGTGTGGGAATTTACAGAATTCTGTCTACTGGCCCTATAGCCTGCTCCCCACCTAGCCTTCCTCCATCTCTCCGCCTACATAGCCTGGCCTCAGAAAGGAGTGGGGCTAGAGAAGGCAGGCTGTCTGGAGACAGGTTGCCCTCAGCTAGCAGGTGCCAGACAGAGCCAAATAGAACCATCACAGGCCTCTCCTAAGAGCAGGAGGCAAAAATCACAGAACTCATCCAGACTGAATGGAGTTTATCCTCCAATCCATTTTATCCCAAGTCCAGACCTCTTGAGTGGGTGGGAGTTCGCACACACACCCTGTTTTCCATCTTCCACAGCTTGATGATGGGGAGGGGTCCACTTAAGGTGGAGATCATAGTTCTGAATCTGAGCTGAGGCTCTGCCCTTTGATCCCACCCTTGGGGCCCCAGCTGGTGCTGTGTACAGCTGGGAGTTTCCTCCTCCCAGATCCTGAGTGGCCCTCTGGGAAATGTAAAGGACAAGGAACTGTCTTGGCTGTGGGCAGCCCACAGAGTTCCCAGGCCCTGCCTGACCCCTGCCCAACCTCTAACAAACCCCCTCTCCACTTTGCACTCCCCACACTGAGGGAGATGGGGGTTGGGGAAGAAAGGCAGGCATCAGGCTCTGAGCCTTGGAGGAGCTCAGACCCAAGCCTATTCATGTCTGCAGACACACAACCAGCACCCAGTAGCGTCTCTCTCTCTCTCTCTTTCTATTTAATTAAGAAACTCTTAAAAGATTTATTTAATTTTATGCATGTGTCTCTTGCCTGCATACATGTGCACCACATGAGTGCCCGGTGCCTACAGAGGTCAGAAAGATGTCAGATCCCCTGAGACTGATGTTAGGAATGGTTGTGAGCCACCAGGTGGGTGATGGGAACCAAAATTGGGGCCTCTGCAAGAGCAACAGGTGTTCTTAATTGCTGAGCCATCTCTCCAGCACCAACTATTCAGTGGAATCCTGAGCCCAACCTTCTGGAATCTTCAGTCAGCTGACTGAGATCCAGTTTCTGTCCCAGAACAGCTTTGATTGGAGGAAACATAACCTTTGTCCTTGGAGCAAACAGCCCCTGCCAACCCCCTGATTTGATGGCAGAGCCTCTTTGAGTCATGGTGAAGACAGTACATAGGGCAGGGAGAGCCTTGCAGCTCCTGGAATTGGGAGAAGGATGAACACTACACTAGGAATCAGGAACCTTACCTGGGATTTGATGGTGTGTAATCATCAATTTGCCAAAGCTACTGAGCCTCTCTGGACCTCAATTCCAAACCTGCAAAGTGGGCTTTGCAACTGACTTCTAAGGTTCTACTCAGTTTTGTTATTGTACTACATCACGGAACAACCTTAGAAAGCATGTTGTGTTGTGACCCTGGAGAAGCAGTGACATCATAGAGTTCCCAAAAGCTTAGCTTTATGTGTAATTGCTCATGGGTATCTTGGCATCAGAAAAGACAAGTTCTACATTGCTTTCCTGTTCAAAGTAGGGACCTGTTTTGTACATCTATTGAGCACTGACTGCATGCCTATTGCTGGGTCTAGCAACACAGCCCCCACATATTGGGTATGTGAAGTCCTCTATAACAATTTGATTGAGGGGTCTAGGCAAGGATGAGCTACTTGACTGAACATAACAACCTCTCTCTTGAGTGGAGAATGGAGGGAACTTTTATGGGCTAGTAGGCCAAGTTCTAGGTGAAATACTTCCATGTTATCACATCTAACCTTTACTATTATCCCAATTTTAATGATGGGGAGCTGATACCAGGAAGGTTAAAGTAGCTTCTTATAGGGTCTGGCAGCATGTGGCAAATGTTCAAGGCCTTTCCAGGCCAGGTCAGCATGACAGAATGTTAGACAAGCAGCTAGCAGAGGAAGGGGACAGAGGCCAGGCAAAAGAACTGGTTGAAAGATACCCTGTTTCCTTCCTAAGCCTGGGACTTTAAACTTTAAGCAGGGTCTCTTGGTTAGTCCCAGTTTTAAAGGTGAGGAGACTGGTCCTGGGAAAAAGGCTCAGTGCTGCCAGGTCTGATGACCTGAGTTTGATTCCCAGAACCCACATGAGGGAGAGAGCTGACTCCCTCAAGTAATCTTTTGACATCCACATATATACTCAATAAATAAACAAAACAACAAATAAATAAATGTAAAAAATTATTTTTAAATGGTGAAAAAACTGATGCCAGGTTTTATTTGTTTGGTGTGTGTGTGTGTGTGTGTGTGTGTGTGTGTGTGTGTGTGATGGAGGCCAGAGAACAACTTGCAGAAGTCAGCTGTCTCCTTTCATCACATGAGTCTATGGGTCCCAGGGATTGAAGTCAGATGAATTTGTGGCCAGTGCCTTTACCCTCTGAGCCATCTTGCTGGCCCCATTTCCTTTCATTATTTTCTTTTCTTTTTGAGACAAGGTCTGATGTAGCCTAGGGTCCTCTTGTTCTCCTGAACTTGTAGTGGAAAATTATCCTCTTGCCTCCAACTCTGAGCAGCTGAGATTATAGGCATGTTACTGTCCATCACTGGAGTTTATGTGGTGCTGGGGCTTTGTGTGAACTGACCAGTAGCCCAAGAAAGACTTTCAGCAGCCCCCCCACCTCACACAAAATGGGAAGTGGCAAAACTCTTTTATCTGTAGGATCTGTGCAGGAGCACCTTCCCCTCTCCAGCACTCCTGCACTGAGACAAGCTTTCTTCCCATAGATGCCATCTGGGACGTCTGCATAGGACAGTAACCAGCCAGGGATGTGGCTGGAACCAGGCTCCCACTTTTTCAACTCCCATGACTCAGGGGAAAACCTTATCCATTAGCTGTTCAAACAAGTCTGGTCTGAGGGTGTAATCTAAACAAATCCCTGTGGTACCGTGTAATCTTTATAACAGCTGAGTTACTGTTATTCCCCTCCATAGCTAGGACAAGTCAGAATTCACATCCTGTTGGAAGAGGATTCTTCTTAGTTAGGATGGATACTGCTGCCCTGCTTGCACCCTGGACCCTCTCTGCCTGCTGGCCAGGTTTCCATGTTCTTTTTGTCTGATGGGTATAGCAGGGCCACAGACCTTAGCCGGAACCCAGACCTCAACACAAGTGACACCATGATAGAAGTGCCATTCAGACTTCTAAAACTCAGCACAGACGGCACCACCTGCCAAAACAAAAACCAAAACCTAACCCATCAAAATCCATAGTATTGCGAATGTTTCTAAAGGTACTAACCTTGCTTTTTTGTTGTTTTAAGTTTTAGTGGCATTTATCAATTTTACACAATAATGGGTTTTGTTGTGACATTTTCACACATGCATATAATGTATTTTGATCATATTCATACCCCCTTCCACTCATCCCCTTCCTCTTCACAATTAGCCTCCTTCTATTGTCATGCCTTTTTGATTAACTTGTGGTGACCCCATGAGTTCAATTAGGTTTACTTATAGGAGCATGGGTGAAGCGTTTTATGTATGTTTTTAAGGTAGTCTCACATGTAACTCAAGCTATCCTGGAATTCACTCGTGTGTGTAGCTCAGGCTGTCCTCCAATTCACCACAATCCTTCCTTAGCTTCCCAAATGCTGGGCTACGAAGTCTTAGCCACAGTCACAAACCCTTTGTCCCAGGAGCCTGAGTTCTGCAGTGATGCTACTTAGAGTCCCCAGTACAAAATACAGAAGTAGAGTGCTGAGGTTGAACTGGCTGTGGTCTAAAGCAAAAATGGCACCAGCTGGGAGGCAGGGCTCACAATCCCAGTTCACAGAGCTCAGCTGCTGTTAAAAGGTGTTTGGAGCAAGAAGGCCACGCCCCCATCCACGCCCCTCCTCCAGCAGGCGGACACCGACGGGCCGGTGGGAGGGTGACTGAGGGCGCTCAGCTAGCAGCCCATCAGCCCCCGAGACCGGCGTGGCCATCTGCAGCGTCGCCATGTCTTCGGTGTTCGGCAAGCCCCGAGCGGGCAGCGGGCCGCACAGCATGCCCCTCGAAGTCAACCTGGCCATCCTGGGGCGCCGCGGGGCAGGCAAGTCTGGTGAGTGGCGCGGAGGATGGGGGCAGCTTCATCCACAGGCTCCCAGAGACTTGCTTCCCCGGGTGGTTGGGTGAGTTCCTATGACTTTGCTGTTTGCCTCAGTTTCTTTGATGCTGGCCCCCACTCTCGTCTTGCTACTTTGTTCTCGACTTCCCTATCTCTTTTATCTGACTTCAGCTGCCTGCCTGGCTCTTTCTCTGCCTCCTGCTGCCCCCAACAAAACTGTCTCTCTTTGTATTTCTCTTAGGTCTTCCACTCATCTCCATCCCTGGGAACAGCAGCCAAATCTTGTCAACTGACACTAAAGAGACCTGTTGGCACTGCTCTCCAGCCCTGGGTCCCCTTTGAACTTGGTGGCATCCTTGCTACTCCTTGATCTAGGCTGTCCACCCCCTCACCACTTCCTCCAAGAGACTTGGTAGAAGTCAGTAGAGATTAGAATTTCTCAGGCTTGGGCCATTCCCCCACAGCCAACCTGTGGGACCCTGAAACAGACTATTTTCTTATCAAATGTTGTTTCAAGCCAGGCCCCTCTTGACTTTGTGGAAATGGGAGACTATGGCCCCAGGTGCCAGGGACTTGTCCTTGAGGAACCTGGATCTTGGGCTACCTGCCACTGAGATCATTTCTGTCAAACCTTCTAAGAACCATCAGAGACCTCCAAAAGGAGTATTTGTCCTGTCACCTGGCTCTTTAAGACCCAGACAGCTGAGGGTAGGTGGGCAGAAAAGGCTCCCTGGCTGTCCAGTTGCAGCCAGCAGTGACTAGCCACCATGGCCCCTTAGCTGTGGCTTTCCTTCTCTTCAGCTATCTGAGATCCCCAGGGAAAGTGTTCCGAATTTGAGGCCAACATCTCTGGCTCAGAGTGGGGACCCAGAACACGGTTCTCCTTTAAAATCACGATCATAGGTTAGCTGGTGACTAAAGGGGTAGAGAAATCATTTTGTAATTTTGATGCAGAGCATCATGTAGCCCAGGCTGGCCTGGAATTTGCTATGAAGCCAAAAATGACCTTGTATTCCTGATTCTCCTGCCTCCACCTTCCAAGTGTGGACTTGTGAATGTACACCACCATTCCTGGTTGATGTAGTACTGGGGAAGTAACCCAGGCCTTCATACCTGGTAGGCAAGCACTCTGCCAACTGGGTTACAGCACCAGAAAGTTTGAAATATGTATTCCCTGGCTGTTAGTTCACAAATTGGCAGTGTTAGGATCCCTTCAAAAGAATTTTAAGTTTATTTTTAATCCTATCAAGAGTTCAGCATAATATATTCGTCTGGCCCTTGCTTTATGCGGCAAGCTCTGAACAGAAGCAATCCTGTTAGTGCACTCTACTAGGGAGAAAGAAGTACTTTTTCAAGGCTTTATATTCTCAGAAGGCTGTGGAAATCCCATGGAGAATGAAAGCCCAAGATGTAGAGGACTCATACTAGAGTGAGTTTACTTGGGACATAATCTGTCCTGGACCTTGCCTGGAAAATTCATGTCCTCTGCAGTTCAGACCTTCCTACCAATAGTCCATCAATTCTTCACTTACTATCTTCAACCTGTTGCCAGAGCTGAAGTAAGTGTCCTATGCTACAGAATCAGAATGACCTGTCTGTGATGGGAGACATGCCCCTTCAGTTGGGGGTCTCACCAGACCTCAGGATAACTAACTAGATGTAGGGGTTTGACCCTGGATTTGATTGTCCCAGACACTCCTTAGACATGCCTCTTGCTGCCTTTCTTGCTCACAATAATTTTTAGAAACTAATCCCAGTGTGCGTGCAATTAGTGAGGCTTGCGCCCCCATTTCTACACATTCTGAGCCAATTCCTCTGCTCTGCAGCCTGAGGCCCTTGGAGAGCCAAGCTTGGTGTCAGCCAGAGACCACAGAGGTCTTCTTAAAGTGCAAGGGACAGTAGCTTGGGGGCTAGCCTCAGACCCAACAGGAGTCTGAGCCCACCTCTTTCTTCTTTTTGCAGCCCTGACTGTGAAGTTTCTCACCAAGAGGTTTATCAGCGAATATGACCCCAATTTGGGTAAGAAGCCATTCCTCTCCGGGCTTCCTGCTGTGTGGGTCCCACCTGAATGTTCCCCCGGGCCCTCCCCATGGGTGGGCCTTGGTCAGCACTGTGCATCTTAGGGTAGAAGGAAGGAATCACTGGGATAATTCAAGGCATACCAGACAACTGGGGGGGGGGCAGCTCAAGGACCTGAGGCTGTTTGCCCTAAAATATGCATGCAATAAGACTTTAGAAGAATTTTTTTTTTTCTTAAATAGCAGAAAGTCCACATCCAAATAGGCACAGTTCTTCAAAATGTTCACTCGGTGTTCTCTCGAGGGCAGCCAGACGAGCTATTTAAGGGTTTCTCTATTGGTGCCGGACATTCTCTGAACCAGGGAATATTTGTTTCAGATTTTTAAATTCATTTTATTTTATGTATATCAGTGTTCTTCCCGTGTGTATATCTGTGCCCCATGTGCCCACCTGATACCCATGGAACTGGAATGGCAGATGATTGTGAACCACTGTGTAGGTGCTGGGAATGGAACCTGGTCCTCTGCAAGAGAAGCAACTCTTATCAGCCTCTGAGCTGTGTTTTCACTCCAGAGAACTAACATACATTAGGGTAGTGCTCGACCCCAATAGACCTTCAGTGCATATTTACTTTCTTCTTCCTCCTTAAATGGCTTCCCATGCATGCTGCTGAGAGTCCCCCACATTCATGAGATCGGTGTTGTGAAGCTTATTTTTAACGAACAGAAGGATCATCCCCTAAAATAAGCTCATTCATGAGACCCTTATACCCAAAACAAACAAAATAAGAATCTGCTTAGCATCTAAGTCACTTCTGGCTCTTGTTTATTATACTATTTTTATTTATAAACTGACCGATGAGACCAACAAGGTGTCTGGATGAGCTTAGCTTTTTGAAAATGATGTTGAGTTGTTTCCCCATTCATAAAAACCAAATAAAGAGTTGGTGAGACCCAAAGGGGAGGGTACACCTCAGGCACATGTGGCTAAAACAGCTCTTTATAAGAAAGAAACTGAGGCAGAGGGGACTCAGTTACTCACCTAACATCACAGAGCCCCCTCAGGTCCACCTGCTTCCTGTGAATGGCAGTCTATGGGCCCAGAAGTAGAGGTGTATAGGGCACTGGGCACTCTGAGCCTCGGTTTCTCCATATGGAGGTTGGGACTGGGTTGTCTGTGCTGCAGCTGTGACTGGAGACTCTGCATAGAAGGACTCTGCCTGTGCTCTGCCCTGGGTGGGCAAGGGGCTCCAGGGAACAATGTCAGCTTCTCACCTCATTTGCCTCCATCCTGTCCCTGCAAGGACATGGATGCTCATTGTGCCACCTGGATGTACAATCTGACAGAACTTCTTTGGTGCCTTTTATAAAATTACTATGTTAAGGACATCAAAGTGCCAAGAGCCAAGGCAGGCTCTACATCACTATGCCTGGGTGAAAAGCTGCCATTCTGGCTCCTGAGAACAGTCACCCAGTGATCTGAGGTTTCATCTAATAGAATAGGATGCTTGAGGCCAGACATAGCTGAAGGACCAGCAAGCTTATCATTAGCCAGGGAGAATGGGGGTCACAGTGGGGAGGGAGCCCAGAAGGCACAGGTTCAAGTTCATTTCCTCCCCATTTGTGGAGATTAAATGAACACTATGTATCATGCATGCTAGACAGAACTCTACCTTTGAGTCATATCCCCAGACTCCCCCCACCCAACACACACACACACACACACACACAGTTTTTTTTTCCTCCAAGTTTTAAGACGGGGTCTCACTACACTGTGCAGGCTTGCTTGAACTCACTCTGTAGCCCAGGTAGGGACTGACCTTGCAATCCTCCTGCCTCAGTCTCCCAAAGCAACCTTGTCATCTCCCTACAGTGGTGCCAACATGAGATCAGGAGGCCACCAGGAAGACTAAGGTTAGGATAACCCTTGTCACCAGGTGAGGCAGGACTTTGCCTGTTTGGAGGGAGGGAGTGCCTAAAAGGCAACTTTAGCCAAAAAAAAAATAATAAGTATGAACACAACATAGGCATCCAGTGACAGCTCTTCATGGGCCAAATATAGTTAAACATTTGGGGCATATTTTCCATTAGGTCCCCTCCTTTGGATAAGAGCAGATATTTATCCAAGTCCCTAAAGCAGGCTGGGGGCGAAGAGCTGCCTGTGACTCATGTTGGATGTTAGTGGACCTGGCATGTATCCAGGCCTGCTTGGCTGCCAGCAGCCCTCAGGGAGAAGTGTGTGACTACATTCAGGCAGGGCTAGGGGTGCTGTTCTCACAGTGGCCACTGCCAGGAAGGCAGAAAACACCTCAGATCTGCCCAGAGGGGTCACCCAGGGAAAGGTGGAGACCAAGGGTACTCACAAACAGGTGCCAGGGAAGGCTGGGAGTAAGAGAAGCCACTGTCAGCACGCCTGACCACATTCTGATTTCGTGGGTTTAAAGTCATAAGAACTAAAAAAAGAAAAAGAAAAAAAAAAAAAAAAACCGAACTGGTAAAAATCCAAATAAGGTCAGTAATTTAGTTCATAGTACAGAACCAACATCAATTTCCTGGTTTGGCAATTGTGCTGTGGTTATATAAGGCGTTAACACAGGGGGAACCAGGGTGACAGGCACATAGGAACTATGTTAGTTGGTAACTTCTATTTGAGTTTAAAATGATTTCTCTATAAAATAAGTGGGCATGAGGGGCTACAGATATAACTCTGACAGTAAAGCAACTGCCTTAGAAGTGTAAGGATCCGAGTTTGGAGCCCTCGCACCCACGTGAAAAACTAGGTGTGGTGGTGTGCATCTGTAATTCCATCGCTGGGGAAGCAGAGACAGGTGGGTCCCCAGAGCAGAATGGCCATCCATCAGGTCACTTCAGGTTCAGTGAAAGACCATGGCTCAAGAAGTAAGGTGGAGGGGTAGGGCTGGAGAGATTGCTCAGTGGTTAGCAGCCATTGCTGCTCTTTCAGAGGACCCAAGTCCTGTTTCTAGCACCCATATCAGCTGTTCAGCGCTGTCTGTAACTCTGGTTCTAGGTAATTCAATTCTCTGTTGGCCTCTGTGAGTACCAGCACACATCGTGTGCATATGCCCACACGTGTACGCGCGCGCACACACACCCCCACACACACACACAAATGTAAAACCTCTTTTAAAAACAATAAAATGAACAGATGATGAAGAGGACGCAAGATGTTAAATTCTGACCTCCACACATGCATGCACACATGAACATGTACACATACATACATCACATACTCACCCAAATAAAAACAAAAGGAGAAAAAAATTACATGGGAATGTGGACCTGACCTGCTAACTCTGGAGGTCCTTCACATTCCTCGCTGCCACTTTTAGATATCTATTATGGGCCAGGCCCCAAGCCTGGAGGACTAAGTAGTCCTCCCACAGTCCTGGGAGACATAGGTCTATTAAATGTGCTAGCTCAGAGACAAGTCTAGCAGAGTGAAGGCTTGAAAACTGTTAGCTCTGGCCAAGTGGTGGTGGTGGTGCACACCTTTAATCCCAACACTTGGGAAGCAGAAGCAGGCAGATCTCTTGAGTTTGAGGCCAGCCTGGTCTACAGAAGGAATTCCAGGACAGCCAGGGATACATAGAGAAGCCTTGTCTCAAAAACAAAAAACAAAAACAAAACAAACAAAAAAAAAAAAAAAAGAAAGAAAGAAAGAAAAGAAAAGAAAGAAAGAAAAGGAAGGAAGGAAAGAAGATAAAACTGTTAGCTCATGTTATCATAGTGTTCCCTTTTAAATGGAGGAAGCACTTCCTGAGAGCTGAAGTCTAAATCAGGCAGTTGAAATGTAGCAGAGGATGGCTTTGGGGGAGGTGTGTGTGTGTGTGTGTGTGTGTGTGTGTGCGCGTGTGCGTGCATGCTATGTATGTGCGGAAGTGTCTGCAAGTTTGTGTGTACACAGGGGCCAGAAGAGGCATCAAGTATCTTGCTGTCACTTTCTAATTTATTCTTTGGGGACAGGGTCTCCATGAGCCCAGGGACAAGCTGGCAGTCAGCAATCTCCAGCAACCCTCCTGTCTCAGCCTCACAGTGAGGGGCTTACAGGCATGCACACACTTAGGATTGACTTTTATGTGGGTGGTGGGAACTTGAACTCAGCTTCTCATGCTTGTATAGTGACCACATCCCTCACTGAGCTTTTTTCCCTGTTTCCCTGAAGGTAGCTTGGATCCTACATCACTTTGTCTATCGACAAGGATGACTTATAAAACCTTGGAACTTGTGTGTGAGGTCTGACTGCACTCTCTCTCCATCATGTCATAAGCTTCTCTTTTCCATCCTCTCCTCTCCTACTGAGGGAAGAAGTCTTCCTTGGGGACTCCCTGTAGGCCAGGCACTATGGTGAAAGGGACAGAGAGTGGAGAAAATTGGGGTTCTTGGAGGAAGTGGCAGGCCTCTGCTGCTGAGCCTATGGGCCACACACTCCACACCATGGGCTTCGTGCATAGATTCAGAAATAGTCTGTCCCCCAGGGCATGGTATATAGTGGCCTCTGATGCTTCAAGCCTGACAAATGAAGAGGAACAGTGGCCTGGTAGCAGTTCCCAAAGGCCATCAAGGCTATACTGGAGGAAGCTGGGGCATCGACCTTGTTTGTTATTTGAGTGGGATGCCATGCCTCTGACCTGGCTGATCATCTGTGTTGCAGAGGACACTTACAGTTCTGAGGAGACTGTGGACCACCAACCTGTCCATCTGAGGGTCATGGACACTGCAGACCTGGTAACAATACTCCCGTTCCTTCAGGCAGCGAATCAGCACAGCCTCCCATATCCTGACCTCATGAGAGAATCCTTTGGGCTCCAGTTTGCTGTGTGGCCCTGAACAGGGCTCTGGCTTTTTCTGGGCCTCAGTCTTTCATTTTCCTTATGAGAAGGCTGACATCAGCCCAGATAATCCTATTCTGTGAGGCTGTGCACACACAGGTGCATTTACACAAACACTCCTACAGGGAGCCTGTCATCTCCCCCAACATCTCTTTCCAAGCATCCCCTCCCCCGCCACGGCTGGAGTCAGTTCTCAGAGGCCAAAGGGGCAGTATGGACCTGACCCAAAACTAGCAGCATTCAGGGACAGCAGGTCCTTGGAGGGCCATGCCAGAATCTTTGACTCAGTGCCCAAGAGACCAAGGTCTCCAAGTCTCTGGCTGGGTGGTGGGAGGGAGATTCATGAGACAATGTCTCTTTTCACACCAAGCCAGATCGACACTGAAGTGTCCCTTTGCAAAAAGATCTGCTGGGGAACAATACACAAACTCAGGAGGTGGGAAGGGCAGCCCAGGTGAAGGCCTCCCCACTCCCAAGTTCTTCTGTCTCTGAGCTGGATTCCTCTCCTTCACTCCAGGACACCCCCAGAAACTGTGAGCGATATCTGAACTGGGCCCATGCTTTCCTGGTAGTGTATAGTGTCGATAGTCGCCAGAGTTTCGAGGGCAGCAGCAGCTACCTGGAGTTGCTGGCCTTACATGCCAAAGAGACACAGCGTGGCTACCCTGCCCTGCTGCTGGGCAACAAGCTGGATATGGCCCAGTACAGGTGAGTGAGGCGTCTTAGCACTCGTCTCTAAAGTTTGCTTGCATATGGATGCAGAATGACATACCTGGGGATCACCAAGAATGGCAGTGCCCTCAGCTGCAGGTAAAGGGATTGTACTGGGAGGGTACACGGGAGTTTGTCTAAGCAGCCAGTGACGGGAAGAGAAAGACACCCAGGCCACTTAGGATGTGGGCTGGACCCCAAAAGGCAAAAGAGAAGATACCCATCTTCTCAGGAGTCACAGTGGTCTCTTACATCAGCCTTGCCTGAGATTATGTGACATTCTGGTCCCCCTCTCAGCAACTGACAGTCATTTTAGTGCCAACTCCAGTCCCAAGGAGAGGCTCTAATCTGCTCCTTGGATCAGGTGTCTGCTGTGGTCCAACCAGCCCTTGCCTTGTCTAGGCGTAGCACCCCAGGCTTGTTGCCACAGTAGGCTGCTGAGCATAGGCCTCCCTTAGAAGGGCTTAGACTTGAACCAGAGGTCACAGACTGGGCCAGAGGGCAGATCACCACGGAACACTGCAGCCATATTTTGCTTGGCTGGCATAATGTTTTAACTGACTTGGAATTGGAATGCTGTGGGGTGGGGCCTGCTCCCTTCAGCTGACCACAGGCCCTGCCACTCCCTGTGGTTTCTACCCCCCCCCCACACACACACACACACATCAAGTCACCCGCCTGGCCCTGAGGCCCTTGACACCGAAGCCTACACTTGAGCAATCGAACTGAAACTCTCCAGTGGGGGGACATTGTTCCATGTGGTCAGTACACCTGCTAGGTGTGGTGCTTTCTACCAGCCTTCTACTTGTCCCTTCTGCTCTTAACTTGTTCTTCCTCTCCCAGCCCCCAGAGGCTCAGTGACTGATGTTGAGATTTGTTCAGATCGGTTCACACAGGCAAGGGTTTCCTGAAAGTTAACTATGATGGTATGGGGCATTCTTCATGGGTGGTCCAGCCTTCAGCCCAAGAAAAATTGCATCTTGGGGAATAAGGGGAGCTGTACAGTGGGTAAATCGCTGAAGGTGGTCCTTGAAATATCTTGGAATGTAGAAGAGAGATCAGAAGACTGGACTGTGAACAGGAAGGAAAATGTTCAATATGACATGGGATGGGGTAGGGGGGTAGGGTGGGGTGACCACAGAATATCGTTTTGACCCCAATGTTTGCCAAAGAGATTGTTGAAAAATGGATTGGAAGCGAGTGAGCAGGAATCCAGGGTTCGAATGAAAGAGCCCTGGTTCCCTGGGTACAAGACATGCCGGCTTACCCCACTTCCTTTCAGTGGAGTGTAACACTAAGAGGTTAGGGCGCAGTGGGAGAGTATACTAGGTCTCCTGTCCCCTTTCTCCTGCCAAATCAGTCTTGGCCCAGAAACTTCCCCACTATTTCTCACCCTGGCATCTCCTCCCATCTTGGGCTGTGCCATGGTCCTCAGGGATGGTGGTTGGGGCACCTCATCATTGGGTAGTGGTGAGCAGGATTCAGCCTGTGCAATCTTGTCCTCAAGACCCAAGGAGTCCCCGTCTGAACATATGAGCTTCTGAAGAGCCAGTCTTCATTTTTTCCCTCTACCTCCATTCCCATGGGTTCCAGTCAGATGTCCCTAGGGACCTTGTGCTTGCAAACGTCAGTCCTGTCATCACAGGAGGCAGAACACATGCACCCCTGCTCTGTTCCTCTGCTCACCTAACATTGCTGTTCCCTGCTGGCCCTCAGATGGACAAGCAGACAAAACACCCATGAGCCCCAAGAGTCTGCCAGTCACGGGCCCCTTCAGTGCAAACAACTGCCCTCTTCTAATACCTCAAGCCAGGGCTAAGGGTGGCCATTTCCTGAGGAGAGAGGCAATGGCTTTCTTCCTTTGGCCACAGGCAGGGTCTAGCATGGAACTCATCTTTTTTCTTCATATTCATTCCTAAATACCAGTTTTGGCAACATCAGCTACCATTTATTGAGTTCTGAGTCTGTGCACCGTGCACATTGTCTTTCTTAGTCCTAACAGTCCTCAGGGGGGGGAGGCCATTATCCTGTTGCATTGATGAGAAAACAGATCCACAGGGCCCAGATGGGCCCAGATCACTAGGTGGGGAGATGAGTGTGGGAGCCTCCCTTCCTCACTCGGAATGTCATTCTCCTGACCGCCTCGCCCTGCTTCCTTGCCAGGCAGGTCACCAAGGCTGAGGGTGCGGCTCTGGCAGGCAGGTTCGGGTGCCTGTTTTTTGAGGTCTCTGCCTGCCTGGACTTTGAGCATGTGCAGCATGTCTTCCATGAGGCAGTGCGGGAGGTGCGTCGGGAGCTGGAGAAGAGCCCCGTGGCCCGGCCCCTCTTCATCTCTGAGGAGAAAGCCCTATCTCACCAGACCCCGCTCACAGCCCGACACGGGCTGGCTAGCTGCACTTTCAATACTCTGTCTACTGTCAGCCTGAAGGAGATGCCCACTGTGGCCCAGGCCAAGCTGGTCACTGTGAAGTCATCCCGTGCCCAGAGCAAGCGAAAGGCACCCACCTTAACCCTACTGAAGGGCTTCAAGATCTTCTGAGGACCCTTCTACAAGAAGTTGGACTTGGCTGATGCTTGGGGCTGCAGGGCAGGGGCTGGTTTGCCCTCTGATAAACCAATGACCCTCATGCTCTGGTAGATAGCAGACTCTGCCTGCAAGCAGTCTCTACATGCTCACTGTGTGAGCTAGGGGGACAGGCAGTGATGCTGCTGAGTCCCTCCAGGCCTTGGGCTCCATGGTAATCTCCGCATCAAACCACCCTGGAGAGAAGCTGCCCCTGTTGCAAACCAGACTCCTGGAATCAGCTGCAGGCAGAAAGGAACTGCAGTGCATATCCTGTGTCATACATGACTCTTGCCTGCTCCAGCTTCTGTCAGGCCAGCTGCAGCCCCTGTTCAAAGAAGCTTTGTCTATGTGAAGGCTTTTAACAGTCTGTCTACAGGATGGTGGGCCTTGAGGTCCTACTGCCACCTGGTGGTAGAAAGAGGTAGGGCAACTGGTCCACCAAAGTCCCATGTCTTTTGACCTCTCAAAACCCAAGGTTTGGTTAAACCGTTTATCCAAGAAAAATCCAGTTAAGATAATCCTATGGGAAACCCTGCATAGGGCAATGAAATCTGGACTGGAGCATTTCAGCACTTGCCTGTCTGTGAAGGTGCAAAGAAGGGCTATAGGTTGTTCAGGCTAGGGAGTCTCCAGCTTTTTTTTTTTTTTAAACCAGCATTTGGGGGCCTCTTGTGACCACCTTATTAGTACACACCCCAGGAACACCGTTCTTGAACTTAATGACTAAGGCTGCAGAAAGTCATTTTACCCAGTGATGTTCCTCAGGGAGTCCACAGTTGGCGGGAGCAGACATGACACCCTCTGGTGAGTGAGCACCATTGGCCTGCCCCATGTTAGGTAGGGTCAGTCAGGTTTGGTTGGACCTCGGATCCTCAGCAATGGATCTGAGTGTTCAAGGCCCACTTTGGGAAGATAGATCTCAAAGTGTTTGGGATTAATAAGTTGAACTTTTGTATAAACGTGGTGTTTTGCCAAGTCTTGGGTGTGAGAAGGCTGTCATAAGCAGGGTTACAGCTGTTTCTTCCTGTTTACCACAAACTGGCTGAGCTGGTTCAGTAGGGACATTAGAAGGGCTGAGCTGGGCGGGGTGTTGGTAGCGCACGCCTTTAATCCCAGCACATGGGAGGCAGAGGCAGGCGGATCTCTGTGAGTTTGATGCCAGCCTGATCTACAGAGCTAGTTCCAGGACAGGCTCTAAAGCTGCACAGAGAAACCTGTCCTCAAAACAAAACAAAACAAGAAAAGAAAAGAGAAAAAGGGCTGAGCTGAGCATCCTAACCTAGGAAGCTAGAAAGCCTGTGCCTTCCACTCCCAGCCGAAACAAAATGTCTCTAACCTAGTCTTCAGCTCTATAGCTGGGGACCCTGAGGTCAGAGGAGGCTGTGAACTAATCAAGAGCATATGCTATAGGTCCTGACCCTGTGTCCTGATCAAAAGGTCTGAACCTTGTACTTTTTTTGAGAGAGAGAGAGAGAGAGAGTCTCTGTTATGTAGCTCTGGCTGTCCTGGAACTCGACACGTAAACCAGACTTGAGTTGAGCCCACAGAGATCCACCTGCCTCCTCCTTCCGGAGTGCTGGAGTTAAGGCTTCTGCCCCATATGACTGAACTTTGTACATTTTATCCAAGCCACTTGTGTGTGCTTCGTAGACCACCATCATTTGAACCAACCATACGATCCCAACTGCCCTCCTAGAGAAGCATTTTAATAAAAGACATTTAAAAAAATAACGAATTTTCATCTGGTTATAGTTTGTTTATTGTGTCTGCTAAAAATAAGTTAGGGTGCTTGGGAGGCACTATCTAACCTGAGGAGTTTGAGGCCACAGAGCTGAGTTCAGATCACAGTCCTGTGTCTGGCTGGGGTAGTGAGTTTTCTCAACACGCCCTAGCTCTCGGTTTCCTCTGGGTCTGGCAGAAAGATCCTTAGGGCATCTTTCTCATTCAATTCTGTTTCCCCCGGGGGCAAGTCTAGCTTCTCGGAGATCAGTGTCTCTCTTAGGTTGTTCAGGCTGCTGTTTTCTTTCATTTTAGAATCCTCTAGGTTCAGGGCTTCTGGTGTTTCTTTGTCTTGTGGCTGCTTCTTTCGGTTTCTAGGAGGAGATGAAATAGTATTGATCAGGGTGCCTGAGAGGTTGGGTCAGGACCCCACAGTTCGAGAGCTTGACAGGAATCTCTTCGCAGAAGTGGTGATGGCTGAGTAGCTTCCACTTTATATCTACCTTCTCTCTGCAAGGCTACCCAGGAGCTAAGCGTGGACTGCCAGTCCTTCCTTTGAGAATGAGGAAGTGTGGCCTTCGTAGCCAAAGAAGCACATGTATCTATCTGCATTGTACATCTGAGTCTACCCATTCTGAGCCCTGTGACTTTTCTCCACCCCACACTATCCTGGCCCCGGGGCTGCCACCATATTTAGAACAGGTCCTCACACGCTATGTTCTGTACCTAAGATGCTGCCAGAAATTCCTACTAACCTCCTGTCTCTCACTCTACTTGTTTCTTCAGACAGGTTTATCCACACCATTAGCCATGACTGTAAGACCCAACCCTACACATGGCTCTCTCTCATGGCCTACTTCCTCAACCTGACAGTCTTTCCCCTAAATCTCCTCTTTCTCCAAGCTGGTTTACTCAAGGAGCTCCTGGGCTTCCTGAAGGCCATGGTGGAAGGATACCAGAGAATCTGCCTGGTCTACAGGGGAGCAGACCTATGTCTGCTGTTCCAGTGGACAGCCACCTTGGCTCTCAGTTGAGCTTGGTGAGAGGAATACTTCCTGACTGGGGGTGTGAGGGTATGGGGGTTGTGGGGGGGGTGTGGGGGTGACGTGGGAGGTATAATATGGGTGCGATCACTTAAAGGGCAACACCCTCTGAGTCATTCCAACTTGCTGGCCAGGTCTAGGAGATTGTAATGGGGTAGGGGGGCTTTGTTTAAGGGGGGGTGTGGGTTATTTGTTTAATAGCTTTGGTACCTGACAGCTGCCACCAAAAGATGAAGCACCAGTTTCCCTAAGTGACTCCTTAGATTGCCATCTAGGAAGGAAGCCCCCACTCCCACCTCTGGAGATCCACTCCAGAGCACCTCCTCACCTGTTTGCCAGGATGCTCCTTCTCAGGAGGAACAAGCTTATCCCCGCCACCAGGACTGCCAGAACCAGGATGGAATAATTCCAAGGAGCTGCTGAGGAGGGACACACAGACACGTCCTCAGGCCAGGTGACACACAGATCCACTTACAATTGGGGCTTGGGCTCAGGCCCGTCTTTGAGCATTCATTTGCCCCCTGCTATGGAGACGCCCATCAAGACTACTTGCTCTGGTGGACCTCCCCGACTGACCAGTGGGTGGGGTGGAGACACAGGGTCTCTGCTCTGGACCAGCCCTGATCCTATGGGGGAGACAGTACTGTGTCTGGATACTAGCTGGGTAAAGGGGGTGTGAGTGACAAGGAGGAACTGGGTCACCTTGAACTAGGAAGAAAGAAGAAAGAGGGAGAGGGAAGTGGTATGACAGTCTAGCGGCATGCAGTGACTGCCTGCCACAGGTAGCAGGTAAAATGGCAGGTTGGGCTGTGGGTGCTTAGGGCATGTCAAACTGTCTCCAAGAGAGGCATGTCCCAGGCTATATCTCTTACCTTCCCCTGGCAGGACAGGCCTTCTGCCAAATGACCTGACAGTGAGTTCCTTCCCTTCTTGCAAGGGTTTTCCTCAGGGCAAGCCTTCATCAGAGTGAGACTTTCCTTGATTATGTTATCTACCTTGCCTCGCAATCCCCCCTTCCTCTCCCCCACCATCCACCTCCCACCCCGAACACACACACACACACACACACACACTATTGAGGGTTGCATTTAGAAATTTCTTGAATGCTAGGCATTTTTAAATTCTGAGACATGTTTTCACTAAGTTGCCAGGCTGGACTTTGACTCTGGTTCAAGCAGGCCTTGAACTTGTGATCATCATGGCTGAGCCTCTTGAGTAGCTAGGCTTGCAGACTTGGGCTACTGGGCCCAGCTTGCTTCTTTTTTACTATGCACTGGGAACATGTCATACTTTTAGTTGTTGGACACTCTGTGTGGGTAGAGACTTGTATTTTGTTCTCTGCTATAACTCCAGTGCTAGGCATGCAGCACTATTTAATAAATAATGGAGGTGATTGACAGCTAAGTGGCCCATACCCTGAGAAAAGGGGAGTGAGTGGGCTCATCACCCCCTCTGTGATAAGATGTCTAGCCTCACCCTCTTTTGAAGAAAATGTGCCACCTGGTGAGTAGAAGAGAGTGCCAAACTGCTCCACCACTCCTGACCCCCATCACTTACCATCTTCTACACGAAAAACCCAAATCATTTCTTCCAGAAGTTCCTGGGGCACCTCAGGACTGACTGCAGCTCCCTCTCCACTGTGGTCCATGTCCCTGCTCGTGATTGAGATGTTTCTGGGCTGTGAACAGACAAGTCTTGAGGTCCCAGCTGCCCTCCAGGCCTCTCGGGTACTGGCCTCTGAGCAGACAACTCTGGCAACAGCAGATAGCACATCTTGTCCCTGGTTTACCTTTCCTTCTTGTCCAGACCAGCAGTCCTATAGTCCACAGTTGTTGGACTGCTCGAGCCTGAACTGAAGCTGACTATGGCAGTGAATGAATGGCCGTTTTCAGGAGACGGAGTCAGGAGGGTTGACAGGCCATCTTTAGCCCCCTCATTAGCCATTTATATACCAGTCTCTGGGTGTGACCTAGCCTCTTTATGACAGTCAGGGAAATCCTTTGGAATTTGCATACAGAACGATAGCTAAAAATGTGCTTGGAGAGTGGCTGGGCTCTTCTGTAACCTGCCTACCCAATGTGTACAGCAATGCATAGAGTGGCTCGTGACTTTCATTGTTCTGTTACTATAAAACTTCGTGAGGCCCTTGGGAGGCAGATGCAGGAGAATCTCTGAGAGTCCAAGACCAGGTTGGTCTCTACAGCAAAGTCCAAGGCCAGCAAGGGCTCCATACTGAGACACCACCCCACTTTCCCACGTCCTGCCCCTCTCAAAGAAACAGCTGCTACCCCTGGAATGCGGAATTTAAGGTAACTAAGGTCTGTGTTCCTGGGCCATGGTCACTTACATTTGGCTCCTGGATGAGGATTTCTTATGGTGAGATTGGGGAGTAGGGCATTGTCCCTGATCAATAGGTGGTAGATACATAGATAAAATAAGAATGTGATGGCAGGAGCAGGTGGGACCTGAAGTTGGCAACCACAAAGGAGGGAGTGACTCAAATCTTTATTAAAATTCATAGTGTGCAGGGTAAGGGGCAAAGATGCATACCAGTGTGAGGCTGTGCCACTCCAGGGCTGGGGGGACTCTTGCAGAGGACACTGCTGTTTCTGCCAGCTCTGCAATTCCATTCTACCTCTAACCTAATCATTCCACCCAATCCACCTTGTGCCTCCCGAGGTAGCCAATCACAGGCCGGTGTCTCTCCACCTGATGAAGCCTAGTCTCCCTCTGGGGTACTGACCCATCTGCTGCCCACCCCTGGGCAAGGAGCTGGAAGAACTAACTGTTTTTCTGGGGCGCTGCTGTGGAGAGGTGCTAAGGGGCACTAGGCTGGGTTGGTAAGCTCTACCTGTGACTCTATACTCAAGTGAACTCTTTCTTCTTTTTCTTTGGGGGGGGGAGGGTAAGCGGTGTGGCATGGGATGGGGTAAGGATGATTTCTGTGAACCATGCTTCCTCAGACAGTCCCTTTAGTTTGAACCTGTTTCTGTCTCTGGGAAATAAGGAATACGTGTTCACATGAATACTTAATACTACTTCACCCAAGTTTTTCTGTACCGATATTTAAAGAAACAGTGAGGTTAGTTTTGACATCGTATTTCAGCAGAGACTGTGCACTTTAAAATATCATTTCAATGTGGTTAGTGTTTTATGTTTTTTGATACCAAGCCTTTGGAAATGGGTGTAAACTTTATGCTTGTAGCATGCTTGTCTTGAAGCCCTCCAGCCACATTTCAATTGCTCAGTAACACTTGGCTGACGGCTATTGCACTGAGCAGTTCTGGCCCTGACAAGCAGCTGGTCCTCCTGACTGCTCTGCAGGTTCTTCTCATCTACAAAATCTTAGTAATCAAAATTTTAAGAATCTCATGTTTTAAGGAAGCTTACAGGTTAGTGTGAGACCCCAGCCACATCTATTCTCAACTGCACATGGCAGCCTGTGGACTGCAAATTGAACACTCCTTGCAGATCAACCTAACCAAGAACACAAAATGCCTGTGAAAATACAAACTCTGGGTGGGTAAACTAGCTCGGCTGGTAAAGGTGTTTGCCAGGAAGCCTGACAGCTAAACTGAGTTCAATTCCCAAGCCCTACATGGTCGAAGAGAACCAACTCTCATAAGTTGTCCTTTGGCCTCTACATGTGGGCCCCCTATACCCCAAATAAATGTAATAAAAACTTTAAAAACTGCCCTCAAGGGGGACATGCCATACCACTTATCAAAACTGAAAACACACACAAAACAACACGTATTTTCCTAGAACCACTTTTAAGGGACATGTTGTTTAGAAGAGTTGACTCTGAGAAAGGAAGAAAGGGAGAATAGAAATCAAAGAAAATTAAAAATAAATAATTGGAGACATAAAACAGAAGAAGAATGTGGGAAGATCCATCATGAAAATATGTCCTGGGCACTTATGAGAGCCACCAAAGGTAACAAGACTACATGGTCTCAAGGGCAGGGGTTCTACAGCTCTGCCTGAGACAGCCTTTGTTTGTGCAGCCTGGAACTTCCTCAAACAACTGAATGACAGATAACCAAAGGGAAACAAAAGAATCAGACTGACACCAGAGTTTCTCTGGCACTAAGTCCTCTTGAAAAACCACTGGCAGACTGGAAGGAAATATTTTGATGTGAATATGAGTTAAGCTTTCCCAGATATGAATACTCACTCATGTGCCTATGTAGGTATAAATTGTGGGGAGAAAGAAAGACCCCTTGGGAGATGGACAGATGGCTCAGGAGTTAAAAGCAAGTACTGTTCTTATAAAACATCAGTTCTCCCCTGTGGATCTTGACCCCTCTGGGCATTGCATAACAGATATTTACATTACCACTCAGAACAGAAGCACAATTACAGTCATGAACTAGCAATGAAATAATCTAGTTGGAGGTCACCACAACATGAGGAACTGCATTAAAGTGTCAAAACAGTTTTTTCGGGTTCTGCAGCCATCTGAGCAAAATTATAGAGCTATCTAGCACATTCCATTTAAAAAAAAAAGGGGGGGCGGGGAGGGAGCTAGAGAGATGGCTCAGCGGGGCAGTTAAGAGCATTTGCTGCTCTTACAGAGGACCTGGGTTGGATTTCCAGAACCTCTATGGCAGCTCACAACCATCTGTAACTCCAGCTCCAGGAGATTCAGTACTGGCTTCTGAGGACACTGTACATCCATGCTGCACAGACATACATGTAAACAAAACACTCATACACATCATATTTTAAAAAGTAAAACTCATATTCCCAGAAACAGTAAAGTTGAGTTGTTCTTATTGTACCTGGAACACACTATTATTTTTAAATATCATTATGAAATTAATCTCCATGCTTCCTTTAGATGTCACTTAGTTTTCCCAATGACCTTGTCCTGTTCATGATCCTGTCCAGGACATGGCATTGTAATGAAGGGTCCCTTTGGCCCTTCTATCGCATCCCTTCATTTTAAACAGGGCTTAGCCATTGCTGTGATTCCTGTCACTGACCCTGGGCCTCCCCATCCCCACAGCAGGCTGAGAGCACTTACTCTGGGTCTGGGATTCCTGGGACCTTAGGCTGGGTGGTGTTGCCCTGGTTTCTGTGTTTTCCTCTTCTTCCTGACAGGAACCGGGGGCAGTCTGCATGGAACTCTCTCCAGGAATATCCAGTTGTAGCTAGGCAGTCCAACTCCAGAGAGCACAGCAGTAGGGGCCCATTTGGTAGCTCTGCCCTTAGCACACGCCCATGCCTGGTGCCTTTGCTGCCACTCCAGGGTGAATGACCTCTTGAATGCATGACCTCCGGTGTCAAACTGACTCTGGTTGACTCACAATCTGAAAGCACCAGGAACCTAATATGATCTGTTATTACAGAGTGGCCACTCCAGTCCTCTGACTCTTAATTATTATCAATCTTTAACTACGGAAGGAGTCAAGGCTCCTTCCTTTTATAGCCCGTGCTTTCTCATAGTGAAGGTCATCATATGAACTGAAAGGAACCATAAAAGTCAGGCCTTGGAAGCTGGGTCTTGGGAGTTTGTGTGATCACGGATCCACAGAGGAGGGAGCAGGCCCAGGAGTGAGGTCTCCCCCCATCAGAATAGACAGTTGCCAGCGTACCTGTGTGGAAACAGGCTGACTCTGGGTGAGTGTCAAGTCCAGAATCCTCTCTGACTAAGTACTGGAAAGTGTGTGGATGGCAGTATGGTCTAGAGGAAGAAACCCAGTAGATCTTTGAGCTGTGTTGAATGCCACACCCTGTATTTTATAATGTGTCCATTCAGTAATTGCTGATTGCCTGCTGTGGGGATAGACTGTGGACAAGGCAAGTATGATGCTGCTGTCCCAGGGCAAAAACTCCAGGGAGACAAGCAGGCAGCAAAGCATAAGCACAGCCATGATGATCTGCGTGCTGTCTCCAGAACCCACAGAGTAGAAGGAGAGAACCAGCCCCTGAAAGTTGCCCTCTGACTCCATGTGCGTTTTGTGTCTCCTATGCTCCCACACTCACAGATGCCATAATACTCACAAACACACATAATAATTAAGACCAAATGAAAAGATGGGCTGGTGAGATGGTTCAGTGGATAAAGTGCTTGCTGCCAAGACTGACAACCTGAGTTTGATCTCTAAGACCTACATGGTAGAAGGTCAGAACCAACTCCTACCAGCTGTCCTCTCACCAGTGCACAAATGCGTGCGCACACACACACACACACACACACACACACACAACTATAGAGATTAAAGTAAGAAGAATAAAGAGATAGGGTTGGGGACCCACAGTTATAGCACAATATTAAAGATGAATGATGAGCTAACTGTGCAAATCCCTGAGAAAGTTTATTCAAGGACAGAGAGGAAACCAGGAGCTTAAGGAACCTGAGAAACAAGAAGGTAGCTGTTACGGTGGAAGCTTCACCCCAGCCGCTGGAATCCATAGACCCAAAGAGTCCGGGATGTCATGGTGGAAGTTCCACCCAAGCCCCCTCTCTCCCATCTCCCTCCAAACCCTGCTGTATTCCAGAAAGGCCCCAAATGATGACCTCTTCCCCAGAGATGCTCAAGACCATTCCCACAGAGTATTTTAACTGCCTCCCAGAAAATAGCCTCGTGGTTTTCCAGTCTCTCTTTCCTGTCTCCTCTCTGGGGGGGCTGGAAGGCTATCAAGGGCTCACTGTAGCCATTAAAC